ATATATATATATATATATATAATGTATGTATATGAAACAGCTTTTATTTTATTGACATACATTTTAAACAAATCACTGAAATCCTAAAGTTAAGGCTATGATATAAAAGCCTTGATCAAAGTGTCTTAAAAGACAAAAAAAAAAAACCCTTATTTTTGTAGTTTTAAACACATTGCCCTGATGTCAGATATATTGGGGGAAGGGAACAAAGACGGTCCTCTAGATTTAATTTAAACATAATTCAATACAAACATGACATTTATTTTACAAACACATAGACAAGGACAGAATGACAAGACAAGTGTACACAAATCCAATTTTCTTGTCGGCTTTTTAGGCTTAGTTTGGTTTTAAGATAAACCAATTTAGAATTAGAATTTTAGATTTTTAGACCAGTCAAAATTCAGGGTTACCTTTAGTCAGGTGTGTTGAAAAGCTTGGAGGGGCTTGTTAGCAGCCCCACTACCAACAGGCTATAGTAGTAGGGGAGGACCTTGGTGTTCCCAGTGTCCCTTACTCCGCATAACCTTGAGGCAAGTCCTACAGTCAGATTTCCAATGCCCAGGCCTTTTGCAATACTGACAAATGCCAGGCTTTTTAGACTGCCACTCTAGGCAGTAAGACTGGAGGGTGACCCTGAGTTGGTTAGCAAAGCTTATGGGGTCCTGATGGAGGTCTGGAAAGTCCTTTTTGATGACCTGTAATTCACCTCATTCCCATGGCCTAAAGTTATAAACAATTTTGATGGTGTACTTAACATGGCCCTCCTTATCTACAACAGAAGTGGTCTGAGGGCTTTGCTTGTTGTCCACCTTAAAGGGGTAGGTTCTGACAGGATTGATGGGGTTGAGTTTGGGGATCTGGTCCAGAAGCAGGGTGGAAGTATCCCCATCAGGCAGAGCCCTCATGGGGATGGGGGGAGAGGTGGGGGGGACAAGTAGAAAAGGGGGAGAGGGCAGACAGAGGTAAAAAGAGGTTGATGGTACCAAAGGGGGTAGTGGTGGGGGTGGTGTTGAAATAGCTTTGCAAGCCCTAATGGAGGCTTTCCTTTCCCTCTGCTTTCCACTCTTGCTCAGCCATTTCAGCAAACCACTGATGGAAACACTTCCATTCAAATCTAGACATCTTATTAGCCTTCTGACAACTTGCTTTTGAGATACATTAATCCGTACCTATCAAAGGAACCCCAAAGGGGCCAATATAATTGAGGATGATCTTTGGTCAATTGACACCAATGCTGGCAATACTTATGGTCATCAGACTGATAGTGACTTGACATATAAGAAGTGGTGGTTTTGTTAGTCTGATCCCCAGTTTTGGATTTTGACTGACCCACAGCCAAATTATAAAGGATATCATTTCAGAGGAGACTTGTCTTGAGGTCTCCACCCCCCAGAGCCAGCACGGAGAGAAAAGTGGACTGCAACCAAATAAAGAAAATCCTGATGTGGTTTAGGGGTTCAGGGGTCCTGGGACCCCAAAATCACAACTCATGGGTTCTGCCCAAAAGAATTCAACCCAAACCTTCTTTCAGCCAAAGACGAGGTTTATTAGAACATTGTCATATTAGGCTGACTCTTAAGAAATCTGAGACTTGATGGACCTTATATACAGAAAGACTGTGGGAGGGATCTAGGAGTGGATCTGAATTGGAAGTAGCCAATAAGCAGAAGTGAACAGGACTCCTGGGACCAGGACAATGGAGTTTAGCTAGGATTAAGTGTGGCAAATGGGCAGGGGCCATAGGGAGGGCTAGGCTAGGTTAAGGGTAACAGAATTGGGAGATTGGGTGTAGCCACAAAGAAAGGCTAGTTGGTGGGATTATAGCCTCAGGAGAATGTCAGAGATTTGGCCATATGGGAAAGTCCAGGACTTTTCCTTTCTGGGATCTAGATCCCAACCCCATCAGTCCCAGAGATGGAAGCAGGGATTTGGGGGATAAGATTCAGCCACCCTTCAGGGCTGGAACTTCAGGAGAAAAGAATCCTGTGGGCTCCTAGTCCCAGCATTGTCAGGGGAAGAATACATTCTCCAGGCTCAGTCCTATCCTGAGTCCACAGCACCAAATGTCAACCACTGAGAGTTTGGTTTAAGAAAGACAAACATGATTAGGTTGTGTTCATGTACACATTTTTTTCTCTTCAAGTGGGCAGGCATGCACGGGGGTTGGGGTGGGAGGCTGCAGTGTTGGAACTGAGCCTATTTTGGGGTTGAGGTACACAGTTTATATACCTTTTCAACAGGGGCTAATATCACCCTGATGTGGTTTAGGGGTTCAGGGGCTCTGGGACCCAAAAATCACAAGACTCAAGTCCTGCCCGAAAGAATTTGACCCAAGCCTTCTTTCAGCCAAAGACAAGGTTTATTAGAACATTGTCATATTGGGCAGACTCTTGAGGAGTCTGAACATGGGTAAGCAGTGGCTAGATTATAAGAGTCTGACCAGTGGCTAAATCTTAGGAATCTAAGCAGTGGCTAGATTTTAGGAATCTGAGCAGTGGCTAGATTATAAGAATCTAAGCAGTGGCTAGATTTTAAGAATATAAGCATCTTAATGGAGATAAGATGGACCTTATACACAGAAAGCCTGTGGGAGGGATCTAGGAGTGGCCAAGTAGTCTATGAGGTAATAAAATTCCAGGGACCTGGACTATAGTGGCCAAGGGAGAATGGAGTGGACTTTAATAGCAATGTCTAATACAAGCATGGGTCAGCTTAACTATAATAAACCTGAATATCAAATCAAATATCATTCCACTAGCTGTTGATGAAGGATAGTACTGTAAATTACTCAGGCAACCTACCATCTGGGGATGAGAATGGGAAAAGCTCTTAGCAACTAAACCAAGATCTAAAGACCACAGGGAACTATAAAAAAAATCTCTTAAATCCCAAAGTGAAGCTAAACAAAGAATTTCTTTGAATTGATCATAACTAAACCAATCTTTAAAAAAAAAACTTCATCAAAACAGACAATTCAAATACTATACTGTGTGACTTATGCATGGGCATGTAGACCATTAGGAGCAGAACTTGGAATTATAATCAGGTTCCCCTAAGCCTTAGCTTGCAATCTTTCTGTTACATTAGGCCACTAGGTTCACTTCTACTAACAGACCTTGGTCTTTTTTTTTTCTCCCAAGAGAAAACATGTAAAATGAATTTGTATTTTTTCCTTCAATATATTTTTTCTTTCAACTATTTAGAGTATTCCCTGGAAATAGTTAAGCAAAATAGCATCAAAATTATTTAGATGTATAATGCTTGCCAGTGTATATCTTCTTTTGTTTGGTGTACCAACCCATGAAGGTTGTCCCATAATTGGATTCATTGCTCCTGCAGCAATGTGTCTCGGAATATTCACATGCCATAATTTATTCAGGAACTTCCCATTCATTAGGCATCTTGATTGCTTCTACCTTTTTACTAATATTTGCAAATAGTGCTACTATGAATATTTTTATAGAGTTAGGTCTTGTCTTTCTATCAATAGCCTCTTGGAGTATATAATCACAGCATCATTGGGTCAAATGGAAGGGATGATTTTTTAACTTTTCTTGCATAATGCCAAATTGTTCTCCTAAACAAGTGAGCCAGTGTGTATCTCTGCTGACAGTTAATTAGAATGAACCAGGTCTCAGTTCTGCTTTGTCTCTCTTTGACACACCTTGGAGCCCAGCAGTCAGTCACAGATCAAAATGTTCCTGAATTAAACCTGTTCTGAGCCTGTTAAGAAAACAACTCCAGAACACATTTCAAGTTTCTGATCCTTCCTCTCTGGTATCTTATAGGGAAGTGTTAACCCTCTGCTCATCTCTGATGTTTATAGGGGAGGAAGAGAAGGTCATGACCAGTCTGTGAATGACTTTGGTCACATGACAGAAGCTGAGAATCTCAGGCACATGGACTGCCAGAGCTTCCTGGTTTAGTCATGCTTACTCTTACCATCATCCTCTGCTTTCCCTTGGACCCTACTAGTCACAAAGATATAGTGAAGGAAAAGGGGAGTTATTTAGAGCTTAGCTTTATTGAGAGGCCATTCTGCACAGAGTCCCCAGAATTGCGCATGGTAGGGTTCAAGTCTCACAGTCTTAATCTTACTGAATGTTAGAGACAATGGAAAAAGAGAAATGTTTACCCAGAGCTTCAGTGGGAAAGCAAGTACTTGCTGTCACTTGCTACCCGTGTAAACTTGGGTAAGTCATTTAACCTCTGTGGGCCTCAGTTTCCTCATCTGTAGAATAAGGGATTGGGCCAAACGACCCTCTCAGATTTCTTCTAGGTCTGAATATAAAATCTTATATTTCTCAGTTCTATTTCTGGCTATCAGAAAGCAGCTTCAGGCTAGTGCTTAGTCTTTGGAGCTTAAGAGACAACTCATCTGAGAAAGATGTATGTATGGAGAGCTAAGATTTGTATTGGGAAAATGCTCTGGTTGGATAAAGGTGCTTGGAAAGAGTGAGAGATTTAGACAGTATGGTCTAAACCCAGAGTTCTACATTTCACCACTATGACTCAGTAGCCCTGGAACTTCCCTTAGCACCTACTATCTTCCCAGCCTCTACCACATCAGTCCCATTCTATTGGTGAGTTGCTTCTGGGTTCTTTATTTTAGACTTGAGCTCAAACCAGTTATGCTTCATTCCCCTCTCAGTCGTGTTATGATATTACAGATTTTGCCACCATGACTCAGTCACCTTCTGACTCTGAAATTTCCCTTAGGATCTAGAGCCTTCTCCCTGGAACATCCCTTTACCATGCCAGCTTCCTTCCACAATTGGAGAATTCCTTCCAGGGCCTCCATTTTGGGGACAGCCAACCACGTTTCATTCTCCTCCCGACTGTGCTTCTGAGTCTACAAACTTCATCATCATGCTCCTCTCATGTAGGTACCTTCCCCTCTCCCCACTGCCTTTTTTTAGCTCCTTTTTATGTTATCTTCCTCCATTACTATGTAAGCTCCTTGCAGACAAAGACTGTCTTTTTTGTTTTCCTTCTATTTTTATTACTAAGTGCCGAACACAGTGCTTGGAACAGCACTTAACAAATGCCTGTTGCCTGTTGCTTGTTGCTTGTCAGGACAATACGAAGAGGATTAGGTTCTGATTCAATGAATGCACCTAGGGCAGTGAGGGAACAAAAGAAGAGGTCAGTGAGTGACAGGCACTAATGTGCATTGAATTGAGTTTGAGTCAGTCGTGCTAAGGACTCTCCCACCTTGATTCCCAGCATAACTACTAATGAGGTACACCAGATCAGATTTTGCCTCCTATAGAATATCTTAACTGTAGATTTTTGTGTTCTGTCTTTTTGGGGAAGGAATCTTAGAAGTCCCAGGGGCACAGGGGGACCTAGGAGTTTGGGGCAAGCACAATGAGTTATAATAACGACAATTTTACAACAATGCCAATCCCTCTTTCTCCCTTCCCTCTGACAGGACAGCCACTGAATTACTATGTGCTCCTGCAGGACCACAAAGAGGCCTTTGTAGGGCTGGTTGCCCTGTGTTTTCAGGTTGTTTGATTGCATATATAAACCAAACCAAAGGAGCTCATCTGCACTGATAAACAAATAGAAAGGAGCAGGCTGGTCTAGTGAAAAAAAAATGTGGGACGAGAAATTTACTAAAAGTAGGAAGGAACCTTAGGGATTATTAAGTATAAGTTTTCTCTCATATAATGAGGAGGCCAACACCCAGAGAACTGGAATGTCTCATTTAAGGTCATATGTTCAGTTAGTCACCAAGCCCCAAGTTGAATTCAGATCCCTTGACTCATAGCACTATTCTAGGCTACCAGATTTTAAGTGGCCTCAATTCTCTGGTGTCTATGAAAGATCCAGTCACTCACACATCACAGCTGCCTGAAGCTTGGAGAACTTGGATTTTCAGGCACCAGGACCATCTCAGGAACCAAACCCAGGCCTGGGTAGTAGGAACTTCTTTTCCTGAGAAGAGAATGATTAGAATTTTCACTTCCCTAACACATGTCATATTTTATGTTGTCTGAGATTTAACCATTGGAGAATCATTCCTTTGGGTCTTGTGGGCTTTACCATGTGGAGGAGTCTCTTATATAAATGAAAATATCCCTGAGAGGGGTCACATCCTAGTTCTTTATCAAGCAAAATCTTACAGAGACTATTGCAGGTAGCCTGTGGTAAAGAATGTTCAGAATTATGGCCTAAGAATAGGGCCAAAAAAGCCAAAAGGCAAAGTGAGGTGAAGTAACCTCAAAGACAATCATCTGGCCAACTTCACAAATTTGCCTGGAAACAGTTAGCCCTTAAGGGTCACCCTAGAAGTGGAAAAAAACAAAGCTTGGATATAGGTTTAGGATAGGAACGGAGAGGCCAACTCATGGGTAGGAAAGGATCTACCTTTATAGGTTTGGTGTATTCCCTAAGGTCAGACCTTCCCCCGTTAAACATCTCCCCCACAGGTTGGCCTTAGTACTGCCCTCTTTTTCTCCCCTTTCACTGTGGAAAACAATTCTTCTTAGAGACATTAATAGTTTAGATAACAAGGAAGAAGGATGTTGTCTGTAGAAGTTCATTATCTGTTATTTTTTGGGTTTGTTTCTGTTTTGCTTTTTGGTGAGGCAATCGGGGTTAAGTGATTTGCCCAGGGTCACACAGCTAGTAAGTGTCAAGTGTCTGAGGCCACATTTGAACTCAGGTCCTCCAGAATTCTATCCACTGTGCCACCTTGCTGCCCCCACATCTGTTATTTTGAAGGAACCCTCTGACCTTTGCTCATCAGCACATCAGTTGATCGGTAAAGCACATATTAACTACGCCTATGTTCAAGGCACCACGATGGGTGATGTTTGGAGACAGAAAAATAAAGCAAAAAATAATTCCAGCCCTCTTGGTCCCAGCTTGCATCCTACTAAGAGAGACAGCACAGATCACAATTTTCACATACAGAATCACAGATTTAGAGCTACCATGGGCTTCAGATACTATCTGGTTCAACCTCCTCATTTTATAGATGGGAGACCCTGAGTCCTACAGGGGACAAGTAACTTTCCCAAGACCATTCAGATTGCAAGTGACAAAGGAAGGAGTAGAAGCCAGGTCCACTGATTCTATAGCCAGGACTCTTCCCATACTAGTACCACACTGTTTTTTTTAAACAGGCAGGTATATATATGATAACTTAAAGAAGGTGAAAGCTCTAACAACTAGGGAAATCAGGAGAACGTTGCCATAGCAGGTATTACATGAGCTGAAGCTTGAGAGGAGCTGGGGAATCTAAGAAGAATCGGGACAGAAAGAGTATAGTTCAGGGGAGCCCTTTTGTCCCCTGGAAAGCAACAAGACACAATATGACCTGAGCAAGTTTGAACAGTGTGGGAGGTAGGACACTATGAGGCCATAGATGGCACTAGGGTAAGTTTCATGAGACTTCTTATGTAGGGATAATATGTCCTGGGTGATGTCGTATCCAGAGTCCCACACAAGGCAAACAGTTTTGCCTGAGCCCAGCCCAGTTCCTATTAACTTATTGTTGGAACCTACAGAGAGGCCTCAGTTTGCTAAGCTAGAGTTGTAGACAGCTGTGGTCTTGAGACCTACTGCCCTGGAGGAGTTTCTTGTTTGAGACTTTCCTATATTCCTTCTAATTGATTCTTAAAATAAACCCATTAATTGGATAGCATGAACTTTCCCGTGATTTCCCAATATTGAGTCATTGATGTGGGGGTGGAGATAAAGATTGTTTTCAAGGTATACTTCCACCCTAAATCAACAATTTTAATTTTGAAGACAAATCCAGCAAAATAAAAGAGTGAACAAGATTAATTCACTTAAAGTAACAAGATCAGATCTTCAATTTTAACCAAGTAAAACCTGCTAAGTCCTACATAAATTGTTTATCCTAATTTGTTACCACCAAAGAAATCGTGCCAAACTGAGGAGGCTAGAGTTTAAATTGCTGTGTTTGTCAGGCAGGGACAGGTCTTCTTTGTCAGGTTGCAGATTAAAACAAGACTTCTTTGTCCTAGGGAACTCACTGGTACAATACTTTGGGGATTGGTTAGAGCTAGAAATAAGGAAAAGGTATGCCAGAATCAGAGCCAGCCCTAGGCAAAACTGTGATACCCACAAAGTTTGTCTTTGTTACTTTCTCAACTTCCTTTTCAGTATCCCCCTAGACAGTATGAGACAGCACGAGATAGTGGAAAGAGCATTGCACTTTTTGGTCAGGTAACTCCGGGTTTGAATCTTAGATCTGACACAAAGACAAACCAAGAAAGAGTTCACACCCTCAAGGAATTTATATTGCATTAGGAGAAACAATATATGCACAGGTAAATAAATAAAATATATAATTTATTTATTTTTGCTAACCCACCTGCATCAATCCTTTCAAAGGGTGTTTTACAAGGCATGATGCAATACCTCTCAGGGAACACACTAACCCTCTACCCCTCAGCCTCCTTCTTTCCTATTGAATTAATAGGAATCTCTCACTAGGTTCAAAGACAATCCAATAGGTATGAATGGGAATGACTTCAGAAAATAGTCAAAAATTCAAAGTGCTTTTAATAAATTAATTTGTGATGAGGCCTTACCTTGGTAAAAACAAAGGAAACTTCTATTCCTATAAGCTTTCTCTCCTCTCTCTGCCTCAAACACCAGTTTACACTTAGACAAGCATCAATATTACTGGCCCTCAAATATTTTCATGGTAACAAGTAATTAAAAAAAAAAACTTAGAGAAACATTTCAACACTATACCATCTATGAGGAAGATCATAGCCAAAGTTGCCTTTGTGATCTTCAAAAGCAGGAGAAAGAAGTTTAAATTATAATTCTCTAACAACTTCAATTGTGGACTCCTTCAGAACACTGGAATCATAGAGTAGGCATTTAGGTGGCACAGGGGATAAAACCTGAACCTGGGTCAGGAAAACCTGAATTCAATTCCTTGCTTAGACACTTACTGTATGGCCCTAGGAAAGTCACTTAATTTTTGTTTGCCTCAGTTTCCTCATCTGTAAGGTGGGGGTGATAATAATAGCAACTACCTGCTGGAGCTGTTGAAAGGATAAAATGGTATAATAAAATGATAATGTCTGCATAGTGCTTTGCAAACCTTAAAGTGATGTGTAAATGTTAGCCAATACTACCAATAAAAAATCAGTTCAAATATCTCAATTCTCTCAAAGCAAATCTTCAGACTCTCTCAAAGATGACTTGACTTTCTAAATCTCTGATAGATGTTTTTTCATGGCAATCAACTGTAGTGTCTCACAGAATCTTTCCCCCCAACAGGTAATTCAATAAATATCCTCAGGATAAAGTTCCCGTAGTCTTCTCTCAATGCCTCACACAGATTCCCTTGAGCCATGACTGATAACTTTCAGTTGCCAAGGTTCTATTCCTCCTCTCTTAAAAGTATAGTAAAAACATCCAAAGTCTCTAAGAGAGGCTATTTAAGGCAAGATTACACATACATTGTAATTCTGGGGATAGAGGGTAGGACATAGGTCTAATAGGAAGACTAATTTGTAAACCATAGAGCAGGAATTTCAGAAGACACAATGGAAAGATAGGGAACAGGTATATGGGAAACTGGGTCAGAGGGAGAAGACTTCTTATAAGACGACTTAATGAGATGTTATATGTAAGCCTATATTCCCCTCACAATTCAAAATAGCTAGAGATGCACCAAATAAGCTCAAATATAGCAACAAGAACTAAAAAGATAAAAGAAATAAATCCCAACAAGAGTGTTCTACAGACAACAAAAAAAAGGCAGAGAGACTGAGGAAAGGGACAATCAGGAAAAGACTCCTGATACATTTTTTATTTAATGTAGAGTAACAGACTTTCAGTAAAATAGAAATTATTCCCCAGATGAAGAGAATGCTTTTGCAAAATAGTAGCTATAATTGGAACTCCAGAAAAGAAAATAGTATGGTTGAACAAAGTAGTTGAAGGAAGAGATGAGGAGTGAAATAAGAGCTTTAATTTTTAAAAATACTTGAAAGGAAAATAGATGGCTGAGAACAAAAGTTGGAAAACCTTAACAAAGCAATGGATACCCTGAATAAAGAATGAAAGAAATGAAATTAAATTCTAACATCCTTTCCATCTTTAAACTTATGAAACTATAATTTTTTAAACCCTCAAATACAAGCAGAATTAGTAGAGCAAAATCAAAAGAACATAAAATTGAAAGAATATATTTAACATCTCCTTTCCAAATAGCTTCCCAGAAGAACATAACAAAAGAAAAAAACTGAATACCATATTTCAAGAATTCACAAAAGAATAACCCCCAGGAATATTGGAGCCAAAACATGTTGATAGAATCCACAGGTTGCCAGCAAAGTTCCAATCCAAATTGTCCAGAATTTTACAACAGCAAAATAGAAAAAGATTGAAATATGACACACTGAAGAGTAAGGGAAAATGACTTGCACTCTAGAATAATTTATCTTGCAAAGTAAAGCATAATCCTTCAAGGGAACAAAGATTTACACATGGATTCTATTATAATTTAAGGACCAAAACTCCTACACTGTTTGCAAATATAAAGAAAGAAGGCAATTTCACAAACTGTCTTTGGAATAAACATTTAATCCAAATCAAAAGAGACAAAATGAAGAAAACTATTGACAAATAACACTAATAAATATTGATGCAAAAAACATTAAATAAATTAAATAAAATAGTGATAAAGCAATACATTTTTAAAATTCACTATGGTCAAGTTAGATTTCTACCAGGAATGTAAGGATATTTCAATGTTATGGGAACTACAAATATAAAAAATTATATTAATAACACAAAATAAAATCATGTAATTATATCAATAGATGGGGGGGGCCTTCAACAAAATAAAGCATTTATATTCTAACAACTAAGGCTCTGTCCTAGACCCTCTTTTCTCTCTCTATAGTCTGCCCTCTTGGTGATCTCATTGGCTTACGTGG